CAATTCGATCACGGATTACAAAAAATTCAATCATGGATTACAAAAAACTCTATCATGGGTTACAAAAAAAGCAAAAAACAAAAAATTGGATCATGGATTACAAAAAAAAAACAAACATTTTGATCATGGATTACAAAAAAAAACAAACATTTCGATCATGTATTACAAAACATTCGATCATGGATTACAAAAAATTCTATCATGGGTTACAAAAAAAAAAAAAAACAACAAATTCGATCCTGGATTACAAGAAAAAAAAACAAACATTGCGATCATGGATTACAAAAAATTCTATCATGGGTTACAAAAAAAAAGAAAACAAAAAATTCGAACATGGATTACAAAAAAAAAAAACAATTCGATCATGGATTACAAAAAAATCGATCAAGTATTACAAAAAAATCTATCATGGATTACCAAAAAAAAAAAAAAAATTTTGTACGGGACTCGCCTATTCTGTACAGTGAATCGGCGAATCAGTGTACAGAATCGTCCAGTTCTCTCTAGAACCGGACGATTCCCGTTTTTTTCGCCGATTCGATCTATCCATGACGATTCCCGAGTCGAACCAGGCGAGTCCGGTTCGATTCGGCGTTTTTTTAAAACGCTGATTTAGAGTATTTGAAAGAAAATCGAAACCTTTACATTTTGATTTGTCCAATCCATAGAAATTGTGGGTCGATTTTTGCTTGAAATGTTCAATTTTAGGAATTTTTTAGAAGAAAAAAGTTTATACAAAGATGCAACCTTATAATGTAGAACTACATATGCACCTCAAAAATCCATAGAAAAAGGTAGTTTAAATGTTGAAAACCCTTTGATTGATCATCTCGACATCGAGATGTATGACCATGAAAAATAAAAAGATTTTAAATCTCAGAAATAGTGCATTTTACGACATATTATCTGCACCGTTCATTTTCAAGATTTTCGTATGTTTATAGATCTATTTGATTTTAACCATTTTTTAAATTTAAAATTTTATAATTAAATATAAAAATAGATTTTAAGATAATCCTAAGAACATTATACATCAAAATATAATCCATGATAAAATTTGAAGGTGCACCTTACCTTTACAGCTACGAATGCATCTGTATACCAACTGCACTTGAGAAATCAATTTTTCTTAAAAAAAAAAATTATTTTACTAAATAAAATTAGGTCTTTTGATGAATATGAACTCTTGATACATATGGTTTTGGGAACAAGTAACTTCTTCAATTTTTTTAATTATCTTCAATTTTATTTCATGACTTTGCAAATTTAAGGGGAAAAAAGTCAATTTTTAAATTTTATTCATTTTTATTTGTCTTTTTAATGCTATATTTTTTCTATTAATATTTTAGAATTTTTATCTTGTTTTTTATTAAGTTTTTTTCAATGATATGAATAAATGATTAAGATAGAAAAACATCTCAATATTCACATATTTTTAGAAAATAATTAAAATGCATAATACACCCCTCCCAATTTAAAAAAAAAACACTCAAAAAACACCATTTTTAGAGACTTTAGTGATTTTTTAAATTTTTGATCAAAACTTGACAATACGTCTTATTCTCAGATCTGGATTGCCGATCTTACACGTTGAGGTGGCCATCCATGTCACTTATCCGTTTTTTAAAACCTTTTGGAAAATCAAGCAGGGTGTGAACAATATTTTTTTAAAACTTTGTACTAGAAAATGACATCCCAGCCACCCAATTTAACAACTAGCAGCTTGGAATAACAATGATCTGTTTCCAAAAAGGTCACCGTCTCGTTATATACAATCCCATTTAGATTTGAATAACTCGCATTGTCTTCGCATTCATCCGCATCCGATTCACTTAAAACGCACCTTCAGACAAGGTTGGGTAATTCAAAATCGTTATCTTTTTTTATAGATGCAATAGGGCAGCCTTTAGAAAAAAAAAAGAAATGTAACCCTGAAAGAGTTATGTAATTTGCTACCTGTTAACACAGTAAGAATTATGCTTGTATAAGGGAGATACTGAGCATTTCACCATGTACATTCAAAAGAACATGTATTAAGGAATTTAAAAAAAGTTCCATCGCTGGCAATTAGTGCAAATAATTGAACTGTAAGCCAACCTCACCCAACATTGGCATATCAGAGTTTTCAACTCTCTCATAAAACCTAACTCCGAGAGAAAAAAGTGAAAAAACAGAGAAAAAAAAATGAAAAAAATATCAAAAGATAGAAATGGCAAAAGAAAAACAGTTAAGCACCTATTCCAAAACACCATTCAATTTCCCGTACTTTAAAAACGTTTCTGCTTCAATCCTCTTCAAGTTCAGCATTCAAGTTAGGTCGTAATGATGTTTTACAATTAGTATTCATTGGTCTCAAATGTGAGCCGGGACGGTTTGTGACGAGCACAACAGAAAATTTTTCTTCCATTGCCATGATGGATATCAAAATTTCTAATAATATCTGTCAATATCAATGATAGTGGAGCATTCCATACATTTGTGACGATTCATCCAATTGATAAATCAGGCAGGCCGCTTCCCCATGCATAAGATTTGGAACCAAATCAGATTCAACCTGCTTTCCTAGTAGATACCTAAATCGTTTCAATCTATAAAAGTAGAGCATCACAATTCTGACAAATCACTTCAAAGAGAATGATACAAATGATACTTCAAAGAGATTGATACAAATGATACCCTTCCTCTGCAGGGATAGATGCACACTATTTGAATAAACACTTCCCAAGTACTGTGAAACTTGGGCAAGCGAGTCTACTACAGCACATGTCCAGGTACTGTACATATGTATTACACCAGAGTTTGGGGGTTTTTCAGGCTCGACACGCCCAAGCAGCCCAAGCAACTTGTGGGAGTCCAAATAGGCTCGCCCAAGTTTTCATTGCCAACCATAACAACTAAAGCACGGCCAGCATTACTAGCTGGCAACGAATGATGCCCTACTTAGACAAAGGAGGAGAAGGCATTACATCCATAAAGCCAAAATGAAGGGGGTCGTATGCTTATTGGCCACCAACGAATGATGCCCTACCTAGACAGAGGAGGAGAAGGCATTACATCCATAAAGCCAAAATGAAGGGGGTCGTATGCTTATTGGCCACCAACGAATGATGCCCTACTTAGACAAAGGAGGAGAAGGCATTACATCCAGAAAGCCAAAATGAAGGGGGTTGTATGCCTTATTATATCTAACAGTCATAAGAAAAAGGACCAAAGATGTGTTGCAAAGGGGGATGTGAGACATTGTTTCTGGACCTGCTTTGCAAACACACATATATTCATGATTATCATTCCTCGCTTCATTACGTTGTCGACTGTGAGCACCCTGATGAGCACTACCAGCCAGGAAAAAGCTTGGGTTTTTTGTGGGCCAGGGGCTCACCGCTCACCTAACTCTACTAGCAGTCAAGTTTGATTCAATGCACCATGTTGTGCTGTTGTACATAGACATAATGCTGAAATTTCCTCTGTTATATGGCATCTCGGCCAAGATAACCTCCCTACCAGGCAAGTATAGAAGACCTGAAGGTCATCCTACAGCTCCTCACAAGCCTCTACCGCCTCTTTTATGGATTGCTTGAACCATGGGGTCCAAACAGTAGTTTGACCAGAACCTTCTACGAGCTTACCAAGCCAAAGCAGACACTTGTATGCAAGATTCCTGTATACAAGACTGGTGCTCTTGCCATTGCTCACTAACATCCTTGTGCTGCTAACAAACCTGGAACAGCAGCTATTTGCACCATTCCATACCCTTGAGAAGCCCTGACTCCTAGACTACCTTCTTCATGAGCGTGAGGTTTGTGTTCCTCATTCATTTGCAAGCCAACTTTCCCTTTAGGCTTCCTAACCTTTCCCCGATGGACGAAGTGATACCCATTTTCTCTGAATTACTACCACACAAGAAATCCCTCATAATATTCTCAATTTGGTTTGCCACTGTTGCTGGAGTTGCAAAATAGAACATGTAATACACATGAAAGTCTGAAAATGGTGCTTTTATGGAAATGAATCACAGAGCACTTTGTGATTTGTCCACATATAGAATTATCAGTAAATAATGACGTCAAATAATTATAAAATACCAGACTAATACCATGTTTCCCCTAATCTATTTTTGCCTCCATGTTCAAATCCATCAAAGGAAACCTTCAACTATAAAGTAACAGTGAGGCAAGTCTCACATAAGCCATGCCTTATCACATTCATGATGGGTGAAAATATTGTCTTCTTTCAATTTGTAACTCAAGCTACCAAATTGAAAGAACATGCAGTAGTTTCTTCATTTTTCCAATAGGTACGAAAATCCACTTTAGTGGGAACCATCTCATCATAATACTGAAAATTGTTTCATTTTATTTTTTATTTTTTTAATAAAAGGTCATTCTATTTTATTTTTAGAACAGTTGTTTTATATTGTTACTTTGTAAATCTTTTTATACTTTTTAAAATTGTTTATCTCCTTTGAAGTGGTTCTTTCATCTGTAAGACTGTAAACGATGTCATGTATGCCAACAAAGGGAAACAAAAATGTTTCACGCTCAGGAAGAACCATTGGAACAGACCAATAACTCGCGCTGCCATTCCTTAGAATCCCAAAAATCACCAAAAATAAAGAAATAAATGAATAGATAAAAACTCCATTAGCACCACCTCCCCTCCTCTCTTTTTATTGTGAAATAACCTTAAACATTTTACAAGAAAGAATCCATTAAAGATAAATAAAGGTGAAGGCCGACATATGTTGACCTCATAACAAAAAGTACATCAGACTAACAACAAGATGGGTTTAAAGTTTAAACCATCTATATAAAACCCGAATATCCTCTCAGGATATACATTCAAATGAAGCTGACATGGTCCACCTCCTACACTATATTATCCAAATATAAAAGTCAAAAGTTTCAAGATTCAGAGACGTAAATCCAACCAAATGTAGCCAAATATAGTGAAGGTATTGTAGAAAAGAAGTACAACAATTAAACAACTGGAAAACAATATGAACAAGCAAAACTGTAAGTTTTGCATAGAAAAAACCGAGGCCATACCTGAGATAACAGATGCCCTCCAAATCAGCCTACCACCTGTTGTCTTCTCCACCTCTCATACTCTGGATCATCAGTAGGCATTTCATACCGACACATAGGGCATGTGCTCCGAATTTCCAACCAAGGCAAAATACATCCTTTATGATAATGGTGCAAACAAGGCAATTGAGTGGCCCTCTCTCCAATAGAAATGTCATCCTTACAAACTGCACAAAGTGTGTTATGGTTATCAGCATCTTTTTGGGTCAACACAATCGATGCCAAGTTTTTGACAAAAGCGTTAGATACAGGGGGGCTTCCTCTCTGAAAACTTTCATTTTCAGCCCATCGCCCTAGCAATATCTCATGTCCGGCAGCTGTATACACAAAATCTTCACTTTCATAGGGCTCAATTTCCCCATTGCTAAGAGGCTCCACTATAAACTCAATGGGATTATCAATAGAAAGAACTGCCCAGTCTCGGTTTCTCATTTCTACCATTGACCCAATTTCATGAATATCCTCATTGATTGATTCGTCATCTTCATTTTGTCCTACCACTACTAGCTCTCCAGGGACTGCCTCCTCCCGGGGCACGAATTCCTCGTCTGACAATGGTTCTTCTTCTGGTACCAATTCTTCCTCAAGGTCAGCATGACTTCGTTGATCATCAATTGTTCTCTCTTCTAGATAGAGGCCTGCATAAGTTGAATTAGTTCGACTGGAAACCTCCCTCTCGCCAAATTCGTCACCTACTTCTTCCCATTCAGCATCATCATTCAAATCCCTCTGATCATCCAAAGGGAGGCAATCCCAACAAATCGGAAGTCCAAAGTTTTCCTCTATTCCATCACCCAAGTCATGATTCGGATTTGATTCAACACCCCAATCACCAGAATCGTCAATTCCTCTCTCTATAAGCGACTCCTCATCTGAAGTAAAATCTGAACCATGGCCAACCCGCAAAAACCTAGAATGCGCATCAAACAAATCCCCATCTGAAGTAGAATTAGTACTACAATCAAAACCCATTGTTCCAAAATCACCAAGATCATGATCACGTTCATCACTATCTAAACTACAGCTTACACTGGAATTGACATCCCAAGCTCTAGAAAGCCCACCACTTTGATAAGTACACATTTCAGAATCTGAAAATGGATCAAGCCCCACAAACCCAAATTCATCATCAACCGTATTGCGAGAGCTTGTGTTCTCAGTCGAGTTCATATTGCCCCGAACTGTTCCTAGAGTTTGGGTACTCAGAATGGAAGACCTGGCTCCAGTTGAGCCTGAAACTGAGGTATCACAAGAATTTGACACTGAACTACCAGAATACAAAGGCAGTTCACCAGACAAACCCCCATATCTGCAACCAAAATCAGTATCCTCATGCCATGGAAGTCCCATTTCAGGTATAGATTCATCATCGTGTTCATACACATTACCATCATCAACATCATCCTCTTCTATAGTTGTTCTACCCAGTCCAAACCCTAGATCAAGACCTAGCCCAAACCCTATATCTGAGCCCCAATCTAATCCCGATCCTGAATCTAGAGATCGATGATCTGAATCATACCCACCATCCAAAACCCTTGATTGAGATTCAGATGGAGAGTATGAACGCAAATTCAGATTATAGGATCTTTCTTGGGTTCTCACATTTCGATCTAACAAACCAAGTGCCAGGCTTACCTGATCCATGAAATCACGACCCAATTCTTCTGGTTCTTCGTATTCTCCTGCTTCTTCTCCTTCTTCTTCCAACCCCAATCCCTTTCCAAATTCATGACCTGGTTCTAGGGTATCAGTAGAAGCAAAGAAGTCAATCTCGCGATCCCGGGCTTCGTCATGGCACCTTAGGGTTTCTGGGTCTAGGGCGCCAGAATCCACGAATTCTCGATCTACAGTTTCTAAATTTAGGGTTACATTCTCTCTGGTTTCAGGCTGTAAGATTTCTAGGGTTTGCAGAATGAAGGGCAGCTTCTCTGCGTTTCGGGCCATGGTGTAGAGAGAAGAGAGAGGAGAGATAAAAAACTTCAGGCAATAAACGAAGGTTTTCATTTTTTGAGGATAAATTCCGCAGATACTGCAGAAATTTCAGATTTGACCTCATATATTTAAGTTTATATCGGAAATGCCTTCCTCTAAACCCCTTATCGAGGGCGAAGTTTTTAAATTTTCAAAGATTTCGGCTCGGTCCGCAAAAGGAGACGCTATTTTTCGGGATGAGTTGTTAAAATTTCGGATGATTTCGGCTTGGTCAATACTTTGAATGGCGTTACGTCATTTCAGGGGAATTAAGGAGAGGAAAGAAAATAAAAGGATACAAATGAAATGACTAACACTGACTATGAAATTAGAAGTTTCAAAAAATGATACAGATTTTGCCGGTTCATGAAGACTAATTTATAGGGGGAAATGAATGGCCTAGACAATGTGTTACAATTTGAGCTATTTTTAGGACTTACAATCTTAATTTTTTTTCACAAATGTATGTATTGAGGATGAAATGATCGTGAAGGTATTCCAATGTTAGAACTGCCATTTTTTTTTGTCGGTTTGGAGGTTAAGCTTTATTTCATTTGATAAGGGTACAGCCCTATCAAAACATATTTTTTAAAATTATTATTACTTAAAGGAAAAAGTTTATATAAGGCCGGGACTCTACACAATCAAATTAGAGCCTATCTCAAAAATTTCACTGGAAAAAATTGTTTTAATACTCAAATATCCTCAAATTGATCATCTCAACATCAAGATGCGTGGACATGACAAAAAAATAGATTTCAAATTTTGGAAATAGTATATTTTGTAATGCATTTTTTGGATCGTCAATTTTCAAGATTATCAAGTTTTCATAGATCTATCGATCTACACTATTTTTGAAGCTTTAAACTTTATAAATAAAATGAAAATATATCCCAAAGATTTCCAGTGTTGAAACCACATTTCTCAATACCATTTGAAGGTAGGCTCTAATTTGATTGTTTAGAGCCTAAGCTCTATACAAACCACCCTCTTTATTGAAAGGATGCAGTTTTTATGAGCCCTAGGTCTAATCAAGAAATAATAAAGCCTCACCTTGAAACCTCATTCAAAAACATACTTTGGGCAGGAAATCTCTATGGCGGCTCTAAAATCAGTTTACACAATTGATTGTGAAATTTGTTGTTAAAATAAAATTGATATAGATCTTGAAGATATATAAACAAGCGAAACTGGACAGTCTAGACAAATATATTACGATATAAATTACTTTCCATGCTTGAAATCCTATTTTTTTCACAATCATAATGATCAAGGACAATATGATCTATTTAAAGGCTTTCCTACACCAGAACTACAATTCGGTGAGTTTTAAAGTAAAGCTTTACTTTCTCTCCAAAAAGCCTAGACCTTATTTTAAATTTTTCCTTATTTAAAAATGATTATATAGGATAAATCTACTTACTTTTAATATAAGAAGGTCACAATTTTATTTAGCCATTGGATATGAAATTTGATATATTGTGAAGTGTGTCACAACAATATTTAAAAAATTTTATTTTGGACTTTGTACCAAGTTAAGAACACAACTCCAACTATCTAAATTCGCATATAACATTTGATGATGAATGTGTCATCCTTATACTAAAAGTAAATATAGGAAAGAGCCTAAGCTTAATTGGTTAGCGCTTGATGAATGCTACATACCAAAAAAAAGAAGTAGTAAATAGCCATATAGTATACATTTTATATTTAAAAGTTTTTCTTATAAATTAATTATTACGTTGATATCCATTTTCCCAAACTGCCCTTACTTCGAACTATCAAGATTTGTATGTTTTATCCAAAAATTCTTTGCCAATGAATGGTTAGAAAACTTTAGATTTATACGTTTCAAAATTTAAAGAAGTTTGGAAGCAAACCTGAGAGCTTGCCGGATGCGAGAAAACTTTAGATATTGAAAATTTGAAGTTTGGATAAATTCAAACTTTTAATATTAGAATAATTTTTAAGCATTGTAATCACCTACGAAAAGGTCCAAGGATTTTTATTTTTTACAAATGTTAGACTTATGACCTTCAAGATCGAAAATAGGAGCAACGCCATTATTTAAAAAAATTACAAAACATAGGGTATAAACATTATAATGTTATAAATAAGATGATTTCTCATATAGTGGAACTATAGGAGGATATGAGCGTTAATTATTCTAATTAAAACCTCCTCGAGATATCCATTATATAAACAGGAAAAAGTTTATACAAGCACCAACTTTATACATTACAACTAATGGAAATCTAAAGAATCTACTAAAAACGACTAATAAATTTAAAAAAGATCATCTCAACGTTGAGATATATCGATATGAGAAAAATAAGTTCGAGGCTTAAATTGCATGTTGGACCATCTATTTTCAAAATTTTTCAAATATCTATAGACCTGCTTGATGAACATCATTTTTAGAACTTTAAATTTTGTGAGTATAGATAGAAATAGGGCAATCAGCACCAAAACTGCTTCTTCTGGTATAATATGATAGTGTGCTTTAATTGACTTGTTTAAGGTTATAAACCACACAATTTTGTTTTTTTTAGTTTCAAGAAAGCCCAAATGAACAAACTTTAGAAATTGTACTTAGGGGTAGTTTTCTTTGTTCCTACAGTAAAAGCACTGTAAATATCAGCTCAGTCACACTATATCTCGCTTCAAATAGCCAATGATATCAGTATCATTTGATTAATGGAAAAATTTTATATAAGGTTGCGGCCTTAAAATGTAGAATCAATGTGCACCCAAGAAATCTATCGTAAAAAGTTAGTTTGAAGTTGTAAAACTCTCTAATTGATCATCTCGACATCGAGATGTTTGAAAATAAAAAGAAAAATGAGTTCGCGTCCCAAAATTGGTGCACGTTATATGGACCATCCATTTTCAAGATTTTCATGTATTTATAGATTTACTTGATTTGAATCGTTTTGAAAGTCTAAAATTTATAACTAGAGATAAAAAAGGATTTTCAGGTCATCCTAAGAACTTTTGACATTAAAATTTTATTTTATAATAACATTGAGGATAGTATACAATGAGGCCATTTACCTTTTATACAAGGTGGTCATAATTATGTATAACCATCTGATGAGAAATCTGATAGCTTAGGTGTGTCACAAAGTTCGAGAAAATTTCTTTTGAAGTTTGAGCTTGGCCAATGGAATAAATGTAGCCCTCTAATTTCACATCCAATGGTCAAGATTGATTCTGACCACAAATGATAAATGGTCTCAATGTATACTTTTCTTAAAATTAATAGTGCACCTTATATTGATTTTTTAAGGTTGCAACCTTATACAAACGACACCCTTGGTCAATTCACCTGGCGGGTACCAAGTTTCAAATACCATACTTCTTACATGCATTTTATTTTTATTTATTTTTATTTAAAGATATCAGTATTTTTAAATTCCAATATTTCACTATAATACCCTATAAAATAATAGATTTTCTAAATTAATATCTCATCTTATAAGTAGCGTAGTGAGTTTTCAAACACGATTATCTACATCTTAATATCTGCGAGTACCAATGTCACATAGGGTGTTTAAAAACCACTTGGATCAAATGGGGGGCAAATTGGAAATTGCCCTCCATCAATATGTGACCATATAAATATTATATTGCCCTCCCCTCTCTTGATGTAATGAGAAGATGCATTGAGAAGTTTTAAGTCCTTCGCTAGTTTAGCCACAAAAAAATAAAAGAATGATGTTGATTTGGCAAATTTGCAAGCACTTAAAAATGAACCGTTTAGATAAACTGTTACAAGATACTATTTTTAGTGATTTAAAAATTGGATCGGTGACTAAAATCAGGTATTGCAAAAACCGGTTTAGATCGATGAATCGGCTGTCCGAATCGCCATTTTATTAATAATGAACTGGCAAAAAAACACATAAAAAACAGTGAACAAGCCAAAAACTGGTCTGAATCGGTGAATAGACATTTTTACTATAACAAAACGATGTTTTCACTGTAGCAACTGATGTTTTACTGTAGCAAATCATTGTTTTTCTTCTAGACCCAGTCGATTTCCTATATATATTTCGAAAACCAAAACGGGGTGACTGATTCTTGGATTGGGGAGTTGACCCGACCTGATTGCCTCGGACAAGTGGGATCTAATTCTCTGATGACGAATTTCACAAACAACATATTAATCAATTTTTGGCCTGGGGTTATTTGGATCGCTCTTAACAACAAATCATGGTTTGAACAAAAAAATACCGAGGTTCAAAAACTCGACTTGGGTTCACGACTTGAGCTTGCCCAAGCCAAGTAACTCGGGTGAGTGACAGGGTGAAAAGGCCTTAAAAATTAAAAAAAAAAACAAATTTTTTCTAAAGGCAATAAGAAGTAAAGTAACACAAGAAAAAATACAGTAAAAGTTGAAACACTATCGGATTAGGTGCGGTATTTTGATCAATTTATATTAAGTGTACATACGCTTCAAATTTATATTACAGAAGTATTTTGGTCAGTTTATATTTTACAAATTACTTTCATTTTTTTCATATTTTTATCAAGTCCACCTTACTAAGATGCACACATGCTCCAAATTTCAGATCATTCCAATTAGTAAAGAAAAAATTGAAAATTAAAACTCTATCGAACAACTGTGACCGTGTGATAGACGAAATCATTGTTTATTTTCGCCTATAAGCGCTTTGTAGTAACTTTATATATATATATATATATATATATATATAAACGCCAACAACCCAAATTGAATCTGGACCGATCTGACAGTCACGATCTTATTTTGTATTTGAATTTTCATTTTTTTTTCAACAAATCCAAATCACTTGAAATTTAGAGCATCTATTATTAAAAAATAGTAGAATCTAATAAAAATATAAAAAAAATAGTTCACAAAATATAAATTGACCAAAATACCCCTCAAACATTTCGACTGTATTTTGATCAATTTAAAATTTACGAATTATTATTTTTTATATTTTTATTAGGTACGCCTTGATGAAAAAAATGAACACTTTAAATTTCTAATGATTTGGATTTGTAGAAAAAAACTTAAATTTCAAATACGAAATGAAATTGTCATGTCAGATTGGCTCAAATTCAATCTGAACCATAGCATTTACTGTAACAATCAGCCCGTGGGCATATGGAATCCCCCTCCATATATATATATATATATATATATATATATATATATAGTGGTGAGTGAGTGGAGAGTACGTACCGTACCCCTTACCGTTTAGTAGGTATGACGACTAACGATA